GTGACTTTGTGTTTGATGTGGCTCTTTGCAGTAACATAGACAAAATGTGGCTCTTAATCTCTGACTGGTTGGCCACCCCTGGTCTAGTGTATTCAATTCTGTATATGTGCGTCTGAGTAGCTTGGCAGAAAAAAAAAACATAACAGAGAGAATCAGTGTGTAAATCTCAATATTTTCACAGCCTGTTCTGTCTTGTCATTTTCCAGTGCATGAATAGGCGTTTTATATGAGGGAGTTTATATCAAGATGTGCTACTAGATATGATTAAGCTGCATGATATTCACACCAGAGTCTCATGCTCTACTGCATGCTGGATCTGCACGTAACTCCAGATTGGAGACTTACTTAAACACTAAACATGGCAGCAAGAGGGGTTTGAAAATGTGGGTTTGAATGGTAGTATATGAGTTGAGTTGGGATGGACATAATGTGAGACATCATTCTATTGCTTTCTTAAAAGGTGACCTATCATGCAAAATGCACTTTTGTACGTCTTTTATACATGAATATGTGTCCCTGGTGTGTCAGGGAACTCACCAAGTGTCAGAAAACACAACCCTCTCTCTTTTCCTCCATACCCAAATCTTTAAAAACGGGGCTGCAACGGATCTGATATAGACCGATACGATACAGACTGATCCAGATTTGAATTATTTTCTACGTCACAGAAGTGGAGCTCCGCCTATATGGCCAACTCTCCACCTATCAGGGGAATGTGGGGTTGGGCCACCGCCGGCCATTGCCGCTCGAAAGCGCTGGAGACGCTGTAGTACATATGCCAGGCCTGTAAGTGGCGCTGTAGTCTGCCACAAAAGCAGCGAAGAAGACTTCCCGCGCATGGTTGCCCTTCTGTTTATTCTCCGTTGTGGCTCTTTTTCTCCGTCCCCGAGGCAAGCGTTTGCTCCTGCTGCTGTTATTCATTGCAATCCCTCTCCGTCGAGGCAAGCACTGTAATTCTCTCCAGTAGTCCACCAGCAGATGACAAACACCCACCTCTCCGCCTCTTCCAAGGAACGAGGGGACTGTGCGGCAGAGCCGGTCAACATGTCCGCTAAAGTTTAAATCTTCCGGACAAAATTTGAAAAGTGCCGGTCAAAGGTCTTCTTTGTTATTCATTGAGCTTTAAAACAAATGAATAATGACTCTATATAATCATATAAGAATAAAACACGGAGGACGATCTCTTTTTCTCCCCGCTGCAGCCTAGCAGCTGATCTCAGAGCACGCTCCCCTCTCCTGCAGGGGGGCGTGGTCAGCTGCAGCTCACAGAATCAGCCCCTGCAAAAACAGGGCTGGAAAGAGCAAATAGAGCGAATTGAGGCATGGTAAAATGCAGGATCTGTTTGGTATTTTGAAAAAAAACTATATTTATATACTTTATATAGGTATGGCCCTACAATATATTGTTCAAATATAGCATGATATGTCACCTTGGTACACATTAAATAATTATAATTGACGTGACGTATGCGGTGCTTTTGCTCTGGCCGGAACATTTTTTGGTGCTTGAAACTAACCGGATTCCGGAGCTAAGAGGCTGCTCCGCTGTGGTGTGAACACGAAAACCCGGTGTTTTTCAAGCTCCAGCTCCGAACCGGCCCTGAAACAATGTTGGTGTGAATGAGGTATATGAAGTGTCATGAACGCAAGAAATCCTACCCTCGTGGGGGCGCGCTCATGTGATTGGCTTAGACTGGAGGAGACATTTGATTGGCTATAGATGAGAGAAATTACAAGTACGAATCGGGTGAGCGTCAGGGGAGTCTCAAAAAAACCCACACATGAATGCACAGCGATCCATGCACAGAAAGCGGGTTGTGTTTGTAGGTGCAGCGGTTTTAAACAGAAAACAAATATGTGTGATTCAAAAATACATATGTAACACTTTTTTCTGTATTTGGATTTTATTTACATGTATATGAAACGGAACACATTTGTGTGTGCATTGAAAAACACAAGTGTGAATCCTTCTGTGTGCATGTGTGTATTATGAGACTGTTCTGAGCCCATAGAGACGGGAGCATGTTGATGCGACCTTCCTAGCCGGAGATATGGCCGCATTTTACAATAAACTTCTGTTGGGTCGCTTAAAAACAAATGTCGCAAATCAAATCGCAATATCTGTCAGAAAAATCGCAATTAGATTATTTTCCCACATCGTGCAGCTCTACTCAGCTCCCATTGGCTCCCACATAACTCGAACCCTGAGTCCCGGTGCGGGCAAGTAGTAAGCCAACATTTGCACCCACTGGTACACATGCTCACAAATATCAAACACTGCACAGTCAGCTTCTAAAATCCCCTTTTCATATGACAGGCACACAGCCTGCTGCACGTCACTGAATGCAGTCATCCTGCACATCTCCAGTCACGTTGTGGGAATAAAGCTGCCTCTGTGAGTCCAATGTCCCAGGCACAGATCCGGTGGGGGGGGCTCCAACTCTGGATAACAGCACAGGGTGGATGTAGGAACGACTGGGAGGAGCCACAGCCATTTGAATGCGGAAGGATGTGTGTGCGTGTGATTATACAGCATGGGTGCCTGTCTGCACGTGACTTTCTATAATAGTATCATATAGTGAAAGAGCTGTGTGTGTGTGTGTGTGTGTGTGTGTGTGTGTGTGTGTGTGTGTGTGTGTGTGTGTGTGTGTGTGTCAGCCCCTTTCAGAGCCCCCTGGGAATCAGCTGAGCTTCATTCACCGTGCTGGCACACGGACTGTGTCACAACTAGCAATCCTGTTATTGTGGGGAATGGGGGATGAATAACAGAGTAAGAGGGGAGAGAAAAGAGGAGAAAAGGGTGAAAGAGGGAGAAGAAGAGAAGAAAAAAAGATTGCCCAGGAAAAGGAGTAATGTGGGAGTGAAGTGCAATGGGTAACATAACAGAACGAGAAACCAAAGGGACGCTAGAGGAATTATGGTAAAATTAAATTGTGGCGAGGAAGGAGTTCCCTTTTATTGGATCTGTGGGAAAGTGACATTCCTTAAACAAACAGGGTCTGTGTTTTGTAAGGGTTCAAAATGCTGAAAAAATTATAGATGCAGGTTTGTTTGCTGGTCAGATTTGCCAGAAGTCACCTTGTAAAACAATAAGTCTGGAAATGATGACAGAGAAGCAACAGATGTACCAAACTACAACAGGCCTTAATAAGAAGAAACAAAACAGTTATGCCTGTATTAAATCCAACCTCATTTGGGTATTACATTTGCTGAGGATGTATAAAAGGGTTGGTGTGTGTTTTTTTTGTGAGGATGACGTGAGTAAGCAAGACTAATGGCTTGACAGCCAATCAGAGCAACGTAATTTCGAAGTGAAACAGAAGCAGACTGACAGCAGACGTCAAAACATTCGACAGCCATTTCAAACTGGAACTAATGCCCAAGGGCGGGTAGGAGATACAGAGTGTGTGTGTGTGTGTGTGTGTGTGTGTGTGTGTGTGTGTGTGTGTGTGTGTGTGTGTGTGTGTGTGTGTGTGTGAGTGATGGCCATTACCTCAGCATGTGAGCCCCTGGTGACAGACTTGACCACAATGGCCTTGTTTTTCTCTTCAATCTCAAAGCCGTAGTCTTCCTCCTCTGGGTGAATCTAGCACAGAGAAAATCACCTAATTACTCCCACATTAAGACGTTGGACACATTATTAGACTTTAACGTATTTCACTGATTAAAAAAGTAATAAAGTAGAAAAATACAGCATAAATATCTTCCAGAAGGAATATCAAGATTTTTACATGTGAAAGTTGTAATACCAGTGAAGAAATAATCTTTTTCAAGTGAAATCCTGCATCAAAATATACTTATCACCAAAATATACATTAGGTTAACTATTAATGATAGGTTGACTATCATCAAAAGTTAACCTACAGATTTTGCAGAGCGGAATCAAAAATATCAGATCCCTGGATTATAATTTTTAATGTGTTCATCATTTATATTTTGCAGCAGGTAAAGTTGGAATAACTGCTTATTGGGGGGGTTTTCCCTCTCCTGAGTATGTTGTATAGGCTGTGTTTAAAGCATGTCAAATGTAACAGTAGAGCCACAAAATACAAATATTAACCTGAAAATAAGGATAATATATCCTTTTTTAATAACTTTCTATACTGCCACCTTCATCTATACCAGTACATCAGAAACTATTTAGATTTGTTACAAATAATATGAAGCTGCAAAGTTACTAATAACTAATGTAGCCGAATAAAAGTAATGGAGTAAAAAGTAAAATATTTATTGCCGAAAAGAGGCGTTATATTCACACTCCTTTTAATGTACCATTATGCTAAGCTGCTATTTTTGGAAATCTATGTAAATATCTTATCCTGTGTACATCGTATACATCTGACTCTTAATCAGTAGCTGAATGCTCTTGCCGTAAAAGGTGATTTGTTCATATTTGTGGCAATGATGCGATTTCTTACAACAATGACCCTCTTCCTTGGTGGTCGTACACGCAATTGCAAACTATCCACAAATTGTCGAGCTCCCAATCCTACAATCTGTGGTTTTCATCGAGTGTCAGGTGATTCTACTGCTGATGATGTTTTCTGCCTCTCATATTTAATTCCCCAGTGGGGCGAGGCTTAGTTAAACGCTGTCATCGCCAAACACATTAGCGCGCTTCCATTAGGTAAGCTGCCGGGGCCATCTTCCTGCTGCACGGCCCTGATAAGATGGGGATCTCTGCTCTTACATCACAGGAGATGGCTGCGGTAAATAAAGAGTTCCTGCACTTTACTTGTATAATAGCCATGAGGGAGGAATAGGATTGCTAATCAAAGGGGGGGCGACCGGGCCTACTTCCCACTCTGATGTGAAAAGGGATGCTAGTAAAGCTTCTTTCCGCAAAGATAACAGAATTAACCAAAACATTTAAGTGTAAACTGACCTTATTTCATGTACCCAATACACAAACATAATTTATATTTAGTTGACTTGATTTGAATTACATAAAAAGTCCTCACTAGTACACACATTGTATGTTTCATATACATACAGTGTAAGATCTGGTAACTGATTTACCTTAGAGATCCCTCATGTACGCACTGCACTATTGTTTGCAGAACAGAGCAAACTCTTGAATGAAAAGTATATCTGACTGCAGATAATACTCTCTTTTCTCAGCAGCAATCCAAAAGGGACTTTATCCCAGGCAGTACAGTTGGTTTTCCACAAGACTCATTAAGCTGCATACAGAGCAAATTCAAAAGGTGTTGTTTGTCATCAAAGCAGTCCCTGCTGCCAGAGGGAAAAGGGATGTTTCTGTGTGTATAGTTATGTTAATTACATCTGGCTGTGGAGATCGGGAAGAAGAATACACATAGGTCCAAACTAACTGGAGATAAAGATATAGTAGTATGTATAGTATGCTAGTGTGTCAGTTCAGTTAACTTTACATAACAAAAGGGACCTGTTATATCCCTGTTTATATAGTATCTGCATGAAAGGGTGAAACATATCCAGATAAATATGGATAGGTTTGAAAAAACGAGCTTTGTTTTGAATCAACCGATCTTCCCTTCCTGAACTATATTTCTTTGGATAACTAAAGTTGATAATGCTGGCATCATAATAATGAATACAAATATCTTTGTGCCATATTAATAGCAACTACTGCAGTGAAACACTTTAACATTCCCATTTTGAGCAAGTGTGGCAATTCGAACAGAATGCGACAATGAATGAGCCTTTGTGTAACCATGTATATCAGTGGGAGAAAATGTGGATGTTTTAGAGAGTGTGTGTGTGTGTGTGTGTGTGTGTGTGTGTGTGTGTGTGTGTGTGTTAAAGCTTACCACCAGGGACTTGGCTAAGATGTTCTCAATGAGTTTGAAGTCATTGCGCTGGAGCTGCTTGCTCTTGGTACTCGTTCCCTCCATTTCCTCGTCCGCGTAGAAACGGAAGAACTGGGACTCGTCTTTGAACTCGCTCTTCTCCAACACTGAGGGGAAAAACAAAAACAGCATGTTATCAGAAAACTGCTGCGTTCAAATCAAAGTATAAAGAAAGCTCTTTATTTAATTATTCTCATTTATTTAAAATGTAAATAGGCTGCACATAGGTCAGTAGCTAAGGAAGACCAAATACATGCCTGTCAATGGAGAAAATAAAAAAGTTTTGAAGGGCAAAAATGCAATATTTGAACTTTCATCGATTATATTAATTTGTTACTTTTGAACAACCAGTATGAATTATTATTATTATAATAATAATTATTATTATTATTATGAAGTATGAATTTGGTACTTCAATAAATGTTACGTTATATGGTGAGGTATGAAAAGGAGAAATATGCCGCTTATCTAGTTTTATTCATTTATTTGGCTTTGTATTTATCTACCTTTTTCCCCACAATTATGTTCTGTCATTTATGTTTGACAATATTATCTTGATGTGATGCTGACTATTTGTAATATTTTGATGGAAACCAGTAAATACATTGTTGAAGAAAAGGACTCAAATAGCAATGGTTTGCTTCTCTATTAAAATGTGCTTTTTAAAAAAGGTTAAAGGGATGCCAATAATATGCCAAAAAAAAGCCTTAAGCATTAGCTTAGATCATCCATGGTTGCTCCGTTATTAATCCAAAATTGGAATGAGTCATACAAGCTAAATTGATAGTGTTCTTGCAAAATTGGACCTTGTAAAAGTGAAGTGTGTTACATGATGGCACAAACTCTGTCAGCGGGTCATTCTCAACTTCAAAGACATGTGGGGATAAAGAGAGTGTTTGCCCTAGAAGCTGTCACCCGATGCATGGACAGCTTCCCACAAACGGTTAATTAGTTCATAAGCTAGTGGTGCTAGCAGGAACATCTGGAGTCAAACCACATCTGGGTCGTAGCCAGCTCGGGCCAGGGAAAGGAAGTATTTCCTGGGGGACACAAGGGTCACTGTTTGTGTGTGTGTCGGGGTGTGTGTGTGCCGGGGTGTTTGTGTTTGGAAATCCCACTGTTGAGCTGAGCCCACTCCAACACATGGGGCACGGCTAACAGGTGAGGACACATTACAGATGCTTCTACAATCATAGCAGGATTGGATTTTTTTAAAACACACTACATTAACCCTACCGTGGATTGTTTTAAAGGGGCATTATTATTCTCATGTTCAGGTTCATATGTGTATTTTGTGCCTCTACAGTGACATGTTTACATGCTTTGATATTAAAAAAAGGTCTTTATGTTTCTCATACTGCCTGTGCTGCAGCACCTCTTTTCACCCTCTGTCTGAAACCAGAGCCCAGTCTGCTCTGATTGGTTAGCTGGCTCAGTTGTGATTGCTCAACTGCTTAGAGATGACCAGCACCTTAGGCAGCCACACGGAGACGATACGGGTCGTATCCACTACAGTTCTCCCTTTTATAGATGGTTCGGCCAAACGAGGCCGACAGGGAAACGCAGATAACGATAACGGGTCCCAAGGTGGGTAGATCTGCGGACGCAACGCTCTGGGGGGCCAAACGGCTCCGTGTCTACGCCCTATACGATCATTTCCTGATAACGATGACGCAATAGCCCCACCTCTGCTGCTCACTGCTGTTACTGTCGCATGGTCAGTAGCTACTGTCAGTGCAAAATCTACAGCTCCTCTACCACAACGATCAGCAACAAGTGGACATGGAGAACTACATGAACTACATGTTGCTAAATCCACCGCGGAAACCATGGCAACAATGCTCGGGGGGTCTTTTCGCTGCTTTTGGTGTATTTTGTGGCGAAGTACAGTGCCACTTACAGGCCTGGCATATGTACCACAGTGATGTCACTATGTTGCGTAAGTAAACAAAGGACCACAATTGAGGCATTTTAGGCAGGGGGGGGGGACGACGACGACGACTGTGTGGAGTGTTAGATGTACACAAACCTATTTAAAAAACATCCATCCTGGATGTCACAGAATGTATTACATTTGGCCAAAATCTCACACACATCTACCCATACAAAGACTTCCAACTAGGAACATTACCTAATCTTAGGTGCGCATACATCTATATGGCTGAGGCTGTACCCAGCTGTTCTGAGATTTGGCGAGCATCTGGCCCCCTCAGGTGAATGAAAGCCTTCCTAAACTGATTACACACACACCCACTCCGCTGGCCTTATGCCAGTTAAAACAAAGCCTGAACGTGAGTTATTTCCTCTGAGTCACGGGCTGTGGTCATATAATAGCATAACACCACCTATTCAACTGGAGGGAGTGCTGCTCCGGAAACTGTAATACCGTAATAACACACACATAGTTACACACACACACACCCACAGTATCTAGGGTCAATAAAACCGTGATTAAGATTTGGTTGGATATTTATTCACTGAATCACTTGATATAACTTTTGAATACTACGTCACTCATAAGAAAACCATCTTCTTTATTTATTTATTTTTCAATATGAACATTTGCCTATTTTATTTGTTTTGTATGTCAAAAAACATAAAAAAATACACATATGATGAATAAGATCAGTAAATAAATCGTTCAATCTGTTAATGTTGTGTGTATAACAGGAGTAATGGAGGATAGGTGAAAATGGTTCCCTGTTTGTAGCCTGAAGGACAAAACCCAACATGTGGTCTTGAGAGACGTGTGGATATATGATGTAAGCAGGTAAGGACAGACGAAAGGCATTTAACCATGTTATCTGTTATCAGTGAGGAGCCTCATAACCTCATATTAATTACCAGCAGGCAGACAGACAGACATACAAAGACAAGCGAAGGAAGACAAGGACATGACAAAGCCAGAAAAAGAATAAGAGTTCAACAGAGACCAGGTGAAGAGCAACAGATGTGCTGAGTAAGGACTAAAAAGTGTGAGTTGGGGAAAGGTGAGAAGTGTGGACAGGCGGAGAGGAGAGAGGTTGTGACCCTGGGGAAAGGCAGAGAGGAGGGTGAGGTAAAAAGGAACAGGTGACACCAACAACAGATGGTGGAGGGAGGGAGGGAGGTGTGAGGTGTGAGTGGCTTTTACTATGAAATGAAGCAAGGCCCCTATCATTGTCTTTCAATCAACTTTGTTCCTCATATTACAGTGTTTTCACTTTTAACTACGATCCCAACTAAAATATTATTGTTTTGGATTTTGTTTTGAACATATACTTTAAGTTTCATCATTATTGGGGCTGTTTTATATCAACTTTACATTTTGTATGTAGGCTTTATGTGTGTATATCAGTTTTTTGTAAATGTAATGTTATTATTGTTTATTTTATTTTTATTTTTGTATTCCTTTCCTTTTTTTCTGTTGATAATGTAAAGAAAAAACTGCTCTGACTTAAGGCATGTTTTTTTTAATTCGTTTTTAACTTTTTACTTTGTTGTGCTTCTGGAATTATTCACCTTTTACTTTTTTGCAACGTTAACAAACTAATTCAATAAATAAAAAAAGAAAGGATGGGTGAGGTGTCAAGCAGCTGAGTTTATGAAAAAGAAAGCCACTTTTAAGCAACCAAGGACTGATTTTATGTGTTGAAATGACAATTAAATATAAAAACTTGAGAAGAGGTTTGTACGCTGTTAATCCTGTACTATCTATCACTTGTACTGAGTGCTGCAAGCCATGTTAGAAAGTAGCCTGTGAAATGGTGCCTGCTTGCTGTATTAATGTATTCCAATTCGATCTTTAAAAGGGTATGAACTATTCCAATTAAAATGAAAGGCCCATCGCAGAGAGCAGAGCTCTACCAAGGCCGTTTCCATGGAGGAAAACATAATGCCAGAGCTTTTTAAACATCAAGTTCATGGACTTTACAGGCCGAATTCCCTCCAATTCAAGGACCCTACAGAGCATAGTTTGAGCCACAGATCAAGATGAATTGCCGTTCCAACACTGAGAATGTTTCTAATGGGAACTCGCAAGCTTATCAGAAGCAAACAGGTAACAACTAAAGTGATGGAGAGGTTTGAATGTGTGAAAACTCAATTTTGCAGTTTTAAGGTGAAGATAACAACTGCCGTTAACTATAATGATCAAAATCACTTTTTTTTCGCACAGAAGATATCAATCCAATCACTTATAAGGACCATTGTCTATTTATTTCTAGGTTGCAAGGTTTTTCCTGAGATTCACAAACTTTCAAGGATTTCAAGGAACCGTGTTCGAACCGAATAATGCTTATACCTGCCGTGTGATTCGGATCCACTACAAATGTAAAAATGCCTTCCTTGGCCAACGAAAGACCCTAACCCTAACCTTAACAAACCAAACCTTAAAACATATTATCAACCCGAGATAATAATGCATTATAATTTACTTATCTACACATCTCCCAATTAGAAAATGTGCAACAATGACTCAGACTTCTGTATTCTAGCACACTTCCCGATCAAGTAGCGCTGTCAATGTCATCATGTTACTTCTTCAGTATTCTAACACAAAGTGCTTCCTTTAAGTGGTTCTCACTTTACACATGATACTCTTCCTCTAAGTAGATTCAATTTTAGGCCTCGAGCAGCAGTCATGGTTCGGTGGACTGACCCAGACAGCCATGTAGCAAAGCCAAACAACTGGGGTTAGGGTACAGTGCTAATGCTTGTTTACGCTCAACACGCTGGGATAGACCCAAAGCCGCTCCACTACAATGTGGTCAATGAGAGACTTGGCTGAGACCAGGTATGCATATTTAAGGCACAATTTCTTCAAACTATGAAGACATGACAGAGGAGAAGCTAATATTCTAATAAACTATTTTGTGGGCAGAGCGAGTGACTTGGGGGTAAAATGAATTATAGAGTAAAGAAAAGAGAATACTGCAGAAAGTGTAAGGGTATGATTAATCAAAACACAGCAGTGAACACTGTAAATAATAAGGAAAACACACCATGCATGTGTCATTGATCCTTTTAACTTAAGTTAAAAGAAGAGTGTCATCATGAACGGGGAAATCCTCGTCACTTTGTATGTCTTTCCCCTTCATGTATGTGTGTGTGTGATATGAAATTCAACTGACCGTGGTGCATGAAGCCGTTGTTGCAGAGCCCCACGCCCAGCGTCACAGCGTCCTCTCGGGTCGAGCAGTCTCCCTGGGAAACCATATCAATGACGCACATACTCAGTCAGTCACTCACAATGGATGTTTCACACCTTCTCATGCACAGCGGACTGTTATCAGGTTATCAGGGTGGTGATTTGTAAGCCATCATGTGTTAATTCATATGTCTATAATAAAGACAATGACAGATTACGAGGCTGATCAAATATGTTCTTGGTGATCAGACTAATCTATTTATTATTTTTTGCAAATGTATTTTTAATTTCAGAATTTTCTGTCTGTTGAAAGTATGTACCATTTCAACCGCAGAAAGCATTTGTGATATTTCTGATCATTTTATTATAAGTACTTGTTTTACTTGGGCCTTTGATGCAGTGGTTAAAAAAGTCAAATACTAACATGAAGAATCTATGACAATGACACAAGAAAACTACCCAGTTTCATTACGACAGGTATTTGTAAACCATTGTTGCATGCTTACTTTTATGTGTTTTGATTAAATTAAAGTGTAACACATCTTCGTTTTTACCTGCAGGAGTAGCCAGTCAACCAGTTTGCTGGCAGGAATAACCGATTTGAAGGTTTTCAGATGGTGGTCTCTGTCCCTATTGAAGCAACGAAATACGAAATAATTTAAAGGATGTATTATCACAGTAAAATGCCAGTAGTGTGTGAAAAAAGTTCTTGAAAGTCTGTGGGTTCACATGAAACGTGTGTTTAACAGATAACAAAACCTCTTTGTGGTAAACATTGCCAAAACAGTGTCTGTTTAGGTAATATCTAAATTTTTGGGAAACCGATAGAGTCGGTGAAGTAATAACTTAAATGTATATATATATATTATTTGTGTTTCTCAATTACAACATCACAAATTGTTGTAGTAGATACTGTCTGAAGTAATATTATTTAAGTAAAAGTACCTAAGTATTGACATCAGACTTTACCTAAGTACCAGAAGTAAAAGTATTTTTACATTATGGCCCATTTTAGAATAATATATATTAAATTCTAAGGTTCTGATTATTGATGGATTAATGTCACAGCTAGTAAATGTGTTATTGTGTGTTATGTTATTATTATTTTATATACTGCTGAGGAACCTTTTAACCTTAGATTTTTTGTCAATGTCTATTTAGTTGATTTATATTTCTCATATCTCAATCTATAGTAAGAGTAGAAGTATTAAGTAGCATAAAATGAAAATACTGAGGTAAAGCAAAAGTACCGTAAAATTGCACTTAAGTCACATTCGACCACTTATGACTTGATAACAAAGTTAATACTGGCTGCTAGTTCACCTCTTTATATATATATATATATATATATATACACACACACACACCTCTTATTTTGCTGCTACTATTAGATTTGTATTCTATTAATGTGTGTTTTTATTAATGTGTGTGCTTAAACGATGTAAATGTCTCCTCTGTGGCCTCCAAAAAAGGATTTATGATTCTGATATATGTAAACATGTGAAACAGGAAGTGCATGGTGGTTGGTTTTGAGTGTCAAACGGTATATTCGCTTTAACATCTCAATGTTATGAGTAAGATATTGGGTGTGTCCCTATATTGTAAACTGCCACATTCAGAACGAAAGCTCTATAGAAACACCGGTTGAGAGCAGATGTGGAGAAGAAGTGCACTGATTGATTGATATTGCATTAAAACAACATGGAAAGTGAGCAGCATTCATAAATGATTAGCGGGACAAATGGTTTTCTGAGTCATCCTCTCTACAGCATTAGACAGCATTAAAGTTGATTTTATTATGTTTATATCCATTTCATTATATGTCATTATTTTTATTTACATAAAACCTGCAGGCGCTTTGTCCCTCAACAAAGTTTAAGAAAAGGGAGGCTTATAATTATTTATAATACATAAAACGCAACACATCCATCACTGTAACATTATAATTAATGGTTGCTACTTACAATGCCAATTTAGTGGTGGTTACAAAAAAAAAGCCAAGGACTTATTACATAATATGTGAATGGCAGGGAGAGGGATTGCCTTTGTATGGTAATAGGATTTATCCCCGGGCCAAAAGCTCTTTTGTTTGCGCCCAATGGCAAGCCCGGCACTTCAATCAGCGGGTGAGTGATGTCGGGGGAGATAGAGGGGTGAATGGGGAAGAGTATAAAGGGAGGGGCCGCGGCAGACTGAGAATGTGTGTAGGGGGAAAGACGTGCGTTTCCTGTGCTTCTGTATAAACTTGTACTCGATTCTGACTCTTCCGATGGAAATAATTTTTGTACAGTGAGATCATTCTTCCTCTTTTTGAGACTAATTTCACTTCAGGTATTTTACCCACAATCAGTGCAAAAGGATTCATCGAAGTTTAAAAGAATAATCAGGAACTAATGGAGAACTGCAATTGTATATATTATCATATAGGGTAGGGTGAGTGTGTATAAACTGTATTGTGTTTATATTCCAGTGTAACCGTGTTATGGTTTGTAGGTAAGAAAGTCAGTTAGTGAGATTGTGAGAGTGTCTTTATGTGTGTTAAAGAGGGAGAGAGCAGACAGGAGGGAAAAAAAGTCATTTATGATGTAAAGAAAATGTATGCTCATTTTCAGGTTCATATTTGTATGTTGTGCCTCTACTGTGACATGTTTACATGCTTTACTGTTCTTTATTTTTGTAATACTGGCTGTGCTGCAGCACCTCTTTTCACCCTCTGTCTGAAACCAGAGCCCAGTCTGCTCTGATTGGTTAGCTGGCCGGCTCTGTTGTGATTGGTCAACTGCTTAGAGATGTCCTGCCTCTTAGCCTATCACGTACAATGTGTTGAAGTGCTGGCCAATAGAAGTGTGAGTCTTACATAGTGATGTCATTATTTTACGTAAATACTCAAAGTAGTCCAAAGGAGGCGTGTCAGGCACTAGACTAGAGGTTTTGGGAAAGGGAAAACCCCAAAAAGCATAATAGGGCCTCTATAAAATGTTTGTTAAGTACAAACATTTTAAAATCCACTAGCATAAATTAAGATAATCCATAAAACTTTAAAGATTAACAGACAAATGCAAGTAGTTTTTCTTAATCCTTTAAGAGCTATCTCATATAAACCTTCATTCAGGAAAAACCTGGCAACCTGCACCTGAACTGGATCTGGTGAACCTACAGCAGCAAATATCTGGCAGGGAGTCTAAAGTTTGGAGAGGAAAAGGGAGGTTTGAGGACTCCTATTCCTGGCAGGGCTACTGTTAGTTCAGTCATCACAGACAGGGTGAAGCGGGCCGAATGTGAAGCCTCCATGAATATGTATTCGTGCACCTGGAGAGTGGGAGCATTAGCATACTCGGGGGGGCGGGGGAGAAGGGCAGGTACTTACTTGATGACAGGCGTGTGGAGGCTGTGAAGGCGGCAGTACAGCCTCACGCCCTGGAAGAGAAGAAAAGAGAAGTGGAGACGCTGAGTCATACAGCACACACACCTTGGGTAAACAAGTAGCAGCATGGCTTCAGGACAAGAGATTTAACTGTGAAAAGAGTTACCCCAGGGGCTATCCATTTTGGACATTTCATAATCCTGCTATAGTTGGGAAATTCAGACTCAAGCCAACTAACATACCATGTCTTTACATATATATTGTTTGTTTGGAATCACAGTTTTCTATGGGAAGTGATAAGTGCCTCCAGACTCTGTGAACATGTACAACTGTTAGGCAGCAGACACCAACGTTTATGCTGTATCAATAAAAAAATGTCTATGTTGAACCCTTCAATTATTTCATTTTTGATTTGGCACACTTTAGCAAAGGTGCAGGCAATGACGCACTTTTTAATCTAAAAAAAAATATATTTTACATTTCTTATCAATCACCAACGAGGATATCCATACACAGAATTGCAGTTACCTTTGACATGATGTCCTCCATCTCACTGCGGGCCTTGTAGGTGCCGTCGTCGTAGCGGAATCGGTACAACACCTGCTCGTTCTTGAACTGGTGCTTGTCTGACACTAAAAGATACCCAGAAAGAGAACATGTTACCTCAAGGGGAATCATAACCCATCAGATATTAAATAAACCCTTCCTCATCCACTCTTTAGTTGGGGATAAGTGTAATTAAGAAGGATCGTGAAGAGCATCAAGGTTCCTAATGCTTGTTACATGTAAATGGCTGGCCTTTATTTAATGTCCATATGTATTACAGATATCAGTGACTGAATAGCCACAGCATGCCTATGGAGACTGTACAAGTTACAAAATATTAATGGGTTTGAGTGGAGCATTAGGTTTGTTTTTCAAATATTCTGTGACTTTTTTACACATTTAATCTGCAGAAAATATTAGGGTAAGTACAGGCAGTAGGCGAGATGGGAGAAATGTGTGAGCAACACTGCGGTGGTAAATTCTGTCTGCATTGGGTAAGCAATGAAATTCAAATATTTAACACAGCGGACGGCTGCCAAATCCCATAAAACTTCCAAATTTGCAATAACAAACAAACAAAACATTTGATCTATGATTCATTCAACACTACACAGAAGATGAATGAATAAAATGACTAATGCATACATAAACAGATGCCTGACGGTGAAATCAGCCAAACAGAGGCAGTTTGCTTCCACCACAAGTTGGCATGTGCTCAAACAGAGCTGCTGGTTTTCTCAGTCTAGACCTAAAATGTCCTCATAAAACCCAAAGCAACACAATCAGCCATTGTAAAGTGACACATATGGAATGTAAAGTACATGAAATGATAGCTGAATGATTACGGGAGCGAAGGAAAAATTACAGTATGAACGGGTGTGTTTTAGTTGCCTGAACACGGACAGCTGATTGGATAAAACTTGAATTATGTATGACAAAATGCACAAATTACCTCTATCTGATTCCTTTTCACTGACTTACAGTGAAACCTACACTTTGCCTCCAGGGCCTGAGATGCTAACGGTTTACCCACAAAGCCTCACTGCTACCCTACAGACCGTGCGTGTCATCACTCAACCTCTCTGTGGTTGTTCGAAAGATTTCAGGGGATTTTCCGCAGGTATTAAGGAATGTGAAGGATGGGTAAAAAATTCCCTGAGAGGGCGATGTGTATAAATCGGGATAGTGGTTTAGCACTTACTATGTACAACAGCGCCTTCAGCAATACTCTGGACAAACTGGGTTCATACATTATGTATTGTAGCTGTTTGTGTCAGTGCTCTATGCATAATTCACTCAGGTTGGCTGACCTGTGCATGTCCCACTCAAGCTAAATCAGGGAAGGGGAAATAATGTGAGAGACATTTCCAGAATTATTTCCGTCACTTATTTTACCCAATTATGGTGATTTCTATCTTAACATTGGAAGTGGGGTACACATTCATAACATGGGTGACTCAAAGACTGAAGAAGAATGGGAATAAAAGAAAAAAAGCCTTGGTTGAGATGACTAAACAAAGTTAAAAATAGAATACATGATAAGAGGAGCTGCCAAGAGCTTAAAGATGAGAAGTAGAAAGGAATTGAAGATGATCGAGGTTTCACAAACAGAGGGAGAAAGAAAGCAGAAAATAAATAAATAATTTTGTTTAATCTCACCATGGTGAATGATGCCATTTTCCAGCAAGGCTTGTCCCAGGTTGACCCCTTCGTCAGACTTACTGATCTCTCCGCTCTCTATCAGCCACGACACAAACTCACTGAGAACACAAAGAAGACGAAGCAAACGATGAGGCCCACATTTCTTAAATTGGTGACCCGTTATGCTGTTTTTTTTTGAAAATGCAACCATCTTTGGCACAGGGCTCCTTGCTGTGCTTTTTTGATGGTGTGGAAATTCACCCTGAATGCAAACAGCGTAGGTGACACTTTGTCTGAGATTTGCGTCGATAAAGTTGGGATTTTTTTGAAAATGGTCATACGCATGGCTTAAGCTAAACACTTACCATATAACTCTCATAAAACATGCAAACCTCTCTTGTTCTGAGGGATGAGTTTTCTTTTTTTTTACATTTTATTTAATTGGCACATTTCTAAGAAAGCCTACCAATTGTATTTATTTATCAGGCAGCATTTTTCTATAACTTGAAGTTGTTACTGCTGAATTTACCATATAACTATGTGGTTTTTTTGTGTAAGCTTAGCATCAATAAATGTTTCCTTTAGTCTTAGTTTTGTATTTGTTTGCCCATTATCTAATACAACCTTTACTCTGCTTCCATGCCATCATTTGCAACATCAATTAGAGTAAATCCTGAAATAAGGACCCCATGTACTAAATCAAGAAGCCATTTTGATACGGACATTTCTCAAAGCCTTTTAGAATCGTATCGTGACACCAAGAATCGAAGTTGAAATCTTGATTCACATTTTAAGTGATAAACCAAATGCTTTTTTTTTTTCAGATATGACAACAACTGTTGTACACTACTGACTGTGGCTCTGATTGCTAAATGTGTATTGTGTGGACAGATATCATAGGGTAACATAGGGATGGTATTTTTTTAACCACACTTTCACCTACTGCAACAGAACTCACTTTAACCGTCTTTTAATAATACATGTGATGAGTAAGTGCCCGCATACCTTACAAGCAGAGTATATTGCTTTCAGTATGCCTACCTGACCTGACCAGTGAAATATATCTGTTCTGTAGTAAGGCTGGCCTGTACAGTACATTCACAGCCTTGCGCAAAGCACCATCATGACATTTACAATTGGTTACAGTTTAAATGAAATACTTCAACCACAGACCAGAGCACATCTACAGTTCAACTTTCTTTGAAGTTCCTCTTTTTGCGACAAATATCCCTCAAGCTTTTGATACTGTACATGCATTACACATCCGAAGCACTTCAGTTCCGCTCCCCTGTTTTTCACAGCCAGTGTGAGCTGAAAAAATGTTTGAAGGAGAAAATTACATTCTCCCCTTTCTTTCATGGTGCTGAGGGAAATTGGTTCCCCAGATAATGAAGAAAAGTGAATTGGAGCTAGCTAGTGTGTGTGTGTTCATGAATTCTGGGATTAAACATTCCAGCATGGGAACAATTTTGCAGAATGTGTGAGAAATCTTTCTGGACTTGGCTTCTAGGTAGGAATATTTTATCATAATAAAGAAAGAAAAAAAGTGTCATTATGCCTGAGTTATTAGTGTATGTGTTTTTGTTGTCTTCCTGTTTGTTCATGTCAAAGCTGGTGGCTGTTAATTGACATTGACAGGGGACTGAATGGGAGGGGATGGAGAGGAGGTGTGTGTGTGTGTGTGTGTGTGTGTGTGTGTGTGTGTGTGTGTGTGTGTGTGTGTGTGTGTGTGTGTGTGTGATGTAAGAGTCAGGTTAATTTTGGAAACAGAGCTTGAAAGGAAATTAATATGATGAGCAGGAAATGTGTGTGTGAGGAAGAGGCAGACTTTGTTCAGCCACACATGGAGGAGGAGAAGAAGACAAGGGAAATGGATTTGTGGGAATAACTGCTGATGATTAGTTGAGTTCAGCATAACTGAAATAAAGTTCAAGTCAGAAACTGTGAAGTGACAACTTTTATGTTTCAGGTTTACACTACATTTGAAAGAGGACCCATTATGCTCATTTTCAGGATTCATATTTGTATTGTGTGCCTCTACTGGGACAGTCACATGCTTAAATGTTCAAAAAGTTCTTTATTTTTCTCATACTGCCTTTGCTGAAGCACCTCTTTCCACCCTCCGTCTGAAACCAGAGCCCAGTCTGATCTGATTGGCTAGCTGGCCGGCTCTGTTGTGATTGGTCAACAGCTTAGAGATGTGTTGGAAATGTCCCGTTTTTTAGCATATCACTTACAATGTGTTAGATTGGGACAATAGTGTGCTTTTTTTTTGTATATAAAGCCATTATACAAAAAAATGCATAATGACTTTTTAATGGCGTAATTACTTTTGTAATGTAAATGAGTAATAGACAAGCTTATGATCTCACAGTTGGTTTGCCTTTATAAGGTTTTCAACATTGCAACTAATGAGCTAGCGGCTAGAATTTAAGGGTGCTAATAGGACTAGCAATACAAACAGAAACAATGCTGACAAAGCTAATAGTGTTAAACTGAGGAGTAACTGGAAAGTAGACGTTAGCATTACCTCTAAAAGTTGCTAAATACTAAAGTACATGCTCAAAACCTGCTCAAACTAAAAATGTACTTTAGAATTTGGACAAAGCTACATTTTATTAGAAAAACAAAAGTTAGAACAAAAGAAAATCATGCAGAAATTGAGAGGGTAGATATGATATCATTTTCTGGTAGCGTTAGCACTCCTATTAGCACAAATAAAGAGAAAAAAACAAGACACTTCAATTTGATCAAATACCATTGCTTTAAATCCTAACAAACGATGTTAGGCAAGCACTGGCATGATCAAAAAAGTACCATTAACACATTTAAAGTGTGTTAACACCGACCATCTTCTAATATTAGAGAATAGGGTGCTATCAGCCGGCTGTCAGCATCTCTGTTTAATGCAATAAGCTCTCCAACTATGCTTGCTGCTAATTTCATCACAAAGACAAATGCAGAGCTAATGCAGCTCTTATCAGCAGGAAATGACTGAGTGATTAAAAGAGGAAAGTGGGAGATGATAGAAAGGGAAAACAGAGTGAGGGAGAGAGGCAGACAAACTGGAAATAAGGGGGTGAGTGGCTAAAAAAGGATTGTCTGAGAAAAGAAACATTTATGTTGGCAAACAGTAGAATCTGCAACAGCTTGACAGCTACTGTTCTGGCACTGAACAGTGGCTCTGACCTAAGTGAAGTGAATGAAGATAAAACATTCTTTCTACGAGAATACTATTACTACTATATATATACTATATACTATAACACACCATGAGACGCAAGTGAAAAAAGATATGCTGGTGATCTATTTTATCTTAACTTTTTCCTAACGTCAACAAAGGTTTTGAAAGGATAATCAGCAATCTTTTAAAAAAGAAAATTCTTCTGTGACAAAGGTAGTAAAAATGTTTTTCAAGCATTATATTCATCAAGTGAGTTCTGAATGTTCTCACAAGCACATATATTGGATATTGCATATATTAAAGCCGGCTATTTCTAGCAAAAGGAAAAAAATGTAAATACTGTTACATAACTTGTTCAAGTGCAGAAATTGAAATTCACCTGTAAGAAAACAAACAACTACAATATAGGGAAGTGTTGCCCTTGGCGGAAATGAGCATAAAAAAGATAAACTAAGACAAAAATAATCCTGACAAAAAAGTTTCAATACTGGCAAAAACGTTTTTATCCCACTCTTTTTCACGTATGAAAAAAAAAAAAGATACAAAATTGATCTTCGAAGTAAAACGTTTTTCCTTTCCTTTTTGAGTCATAAAGAGAGAAACACATTTAAATCAGACAGAAAATGTATCACCAGAATATATTTTCTTCTCTCTTGACTTGGCTTCAGTAGTATGCTAGTAACGCACTGTTCTTAATACAGTATACTCTGACAGGGAAGGAGAGTGCTTAATGCTGACGTGTACTTTTATGCAGAATGAAGTTCCTGAAAGCAGGTACCTTGGACGGAGAGAAGAAAAATCCCAGACAAGGAGTTCACATGACGCCACAAAGATTGAACATGTCTCGCAGACACACCATTACATTTTTAAGTGACCCATTACATTCCTGTAACTGATTTGAAAGTAGTCAATGCACTGTCTACTACACATCTCTCGAAAGAGGCCATGTTGGCAGTGGTGAAGACACAAACGGTTGCTCCCTGGTTTCCCTTTAAATGGTCATCACCTTTGAAGTCTTTCCATGTTTTTATTCTTTGTTTCTTACAAAAATGGTGCCCGAAAGAATTTTAATTGCTGCTCAGGATCTCACAATTGCTAGCATTAGGGAAACCTAAGCAGGTCTCTCATTGTCCTGAAACATAAAGGGGACAGCGATGGCTTGTTGCAGAGCCTCAGTTAAAGTTCCTTTGCTAATGAAAGTCTGGATGTGTGAGTGTGTGCTCCATGATAGGAGTGTGTAGGGAGCAACTTGGTCCTTTCTATGAACCGTGAGAGGAGACTATAAGGGGGGCTCATTACAGACAAGAGGATGTAGGGATAAAACAGTTTAGGCACCTTGCCAGAACTTGGGGAGACTGGATACAGGCTCTTTTGAAAGAATGCAGATCTTATGTAACACCGCTTTTGTAAGGACCCCCTTGTGAACAGCATTGCAGTCACATTCTTGGAACCTCAAGAAAACCAGGCACTGAGGGAAATAAAGAAACTCACTTTCCCATGAAGCACTTGGGCACAATGCTGAGCTTCCTGCGTCGATCTTTAATCAGGTGGCGACTCTTGGTCATCATCATGTGGTAGAGCTTCTCCCCCTTCTCTGCAATCATCACGTAGGCGTCCCGCTCCATTCCCAGTTTGAGACCTATGAACAAAAGAGAAAAAACTGTCAGATTCCCGTCAATGGAATAAGACTTTTCTATAATAAAAGGAAAATGAATCACAATGGCAAAACAAATACAGCAGACCCATTACTGGAAACAAATTTCCAATTGGCTTTAGTGGCTTTTTTCACGTGCCAAAGCCAAAAGGCAAAGGCTGTCATGGTTCTATTAAAACAGACAAACGGGCCCTTCTCCTGGTTGTGTTCTGGTATTCTGCAGATGAAATGAAGCCAGGACCAAAGCACCGCAGCTCGGGTCCGCTTCAACCTTCTGAAACAAACCCAGATGTTTATCTCTCCTAGACGAGTTGCTTCATGGAGTGAGTAGAGTTCGGGAGGGCAGTGTGATCCTGATCTTGTTTCTGTTCTAGTTTGGCGACTATTATTGCTCTATTGTAAAGCAGAACATGTGAGGGCACATTGTAAGGCCCGATGCCCCGATAAAACCTCTCCAGTGAGTTCACAGTTTGACCTGCTTAAGCTCACCGTGGGGTTTGATGAACTTCTGAAAACACACAGACTTTCTGACTGGGGCATCTAACTCTGCTGCACTGCGCCTTCATAAGCTGCTTAACTCTACTGAGAGACACATCAAGCTGCTGAACGCGACTAAAAGGTATTCACGCATTTAGTGCCGCTTCTCCTTCAGGGATAGGAAATAATACATTGTTGTTGATTCCAATTCCATTATTGACGCTTCGTATCGGTCAATTTGTTGTTGTAGTAGTCATCATTTTTCGTAAAATGTGGCCGTACCCTGGATCGATTTTCCTTGCCACTGAGTTTTTGCAGGTAGATTTGCACATTTGTCAGACAAACATGACAGCTTCTGGACCTGGTTCTCAACTGGTTCTTGATTCCGCATAATAGCGGCCTTGCTGGCAGTCAGCTGACATTTGGCTGAAGCCTTTGATCTGCAAATATGATTTGAAGACACAAGGGAAATATGCCCCAACGCAAGGCATTTGATCACTTGGCCTTTTCAACATTCCCTTGAGGTTGGCTGGGTGTGTAACATTGTAGGACCAGAGCAAATTTTGCAATACAGTTGAAAACTAAAATGCACTGAAAGAGCACAGACCTCCGCCAAGGCCAATAGTGCCTTCACATGCTCCTCAGATTGTCCTATTTCCCAATTTGGGAAGATGTTCTTTCAACTCCGGTGTGTTCATGAGAATTGTATAATGTTTTTAAAAAGTTGATATATACGAGTTGTTGTACCATTTTGAGGGGCCTTTCATGTGAATTATCCTAGGTGGAAACACATTTTTAAAATCATTCCCAACCCACATGAATCCAAACCTAGCAATACCAATGGAAGTGAAACAGCTATATCCACCTTGTAATAAGTTCTTCACGACCCATGCTACACCAGGTTTTAATAATTTGTACACAATCCTGCTGACAGACAGTCAAACAGACTTAGACGAAAATATAACCTCTTTGGCAGATGTCACACAATTCATTGGGTCTGCATCATGCAACTTTTAGCGGTTTAAGGGAGAAAGTTAAGTGAAAACTCTTTTGGAAGTCTGACTAACTGAAAGGCGAACAGAGGTGTAAAACGAACTATTGAATTCACTTTTCCCATAGGTTCTCTGGAGTTCTGCACTGGGTGATGCAGCTTGGGTTATATTACATTTGACAGCAGCTGGAGTAGACTTAAACAATGAGTGTCATTGAACAACAGACGGAGCCTGTCCAGCGCAGCAGAGGCCCCTCAGCTTCTGTTCCAGCTGTCAGAGTTTGTCTTGTAATGCTCCTCGTCTTCCTGGCACAAGCTAATACCCTATCGCATTATCTGCCCCACGCATTTTCCCTTAAACTGCCGTGAAAACAGTGATAGGACAAAACACCTCCAGCTGGCAGTGTTGAACAATGAAAGTCTTTTAGGAGGGTTTGGGAAGAGCCACATGTCCAACACAGGGAAGGACCACAGCGTGGAGAAAGTCATATCGAACAAGGCGTGTCAGGAGTGGAATCATGCAGAAAAAGTGGAACATATCTAGGATTTATTGAAGAAAAATACTATCATGTAGCTGTCTACACTGTAGCGAAGAGGTTGAGAGAAAGGTAAGGACAGAGTATACTGTAGAGGGGGTAATAGAAAGGAGAGTGTGGGGAAAATGGGCACTGTGACTGATCTGGCATCTGTTAGCCTCAGGTCGATTTCCGCCGGGGTTGAAACCAAACACCACAAGCTGCAGCACACTCCTCCGTACTTACTTCTAACCTGAAACCCTTTTATCACAGAATCAGATGCTAGTGACGTCAAATTTACACTCTGGATGTTTTAAATGTAAACTTAGAAAACATTTGTTAAAAAAAAGTGTTGACATTGGTGATTAAATGAAGCTAAAACCCTTTTTCTTTGCTCATTTTACGCCAAATCCCATTCTATTAGCTTTAGGGATTTTTAGCCGTCAATGCTATCAGGTGACCAGTTGTGTACCTCCCCAAATCTGGTTAAAGCCTTTCACACTGTCTAAGGCACACAACATAACAAAGACAGATGGCCACTGATGAACAGGTGGGAACACATTTTAAGACAAAAGAGGGAAGTCGGAAAGAGCAACAAGAATATCAGTTTGCATTACTAATCTCAAATCGGTGGATGTGGCGCTGTGTAGGGCTTATTTTTGATCATCAATGAATGAAGTGTTTTTGAAATGGTGAGACTAAATACACTAGATTTTCTGCAAACTAATCAAGAGCTTTGTCATGTCAATTCATTATATGGCTTCAAAACCAACAGCTGGACATGGATACAACTGTGTTTTTAAGTCTATACAAACACTCTTTATTCTAGGTAAAATAGATCCAAGCATGCATGACGTCATTTAGTTTCACGTTCTTTGACAAAAAGAATGCTTATCTATTTAAAGCGTTCGACAAAGATGCTGTTTTTAGCACAGTTGTTGTTTGCAAATGACTCATCACACAGAGGGATTTGATTAGACACCACAGCTGCATTGATTTTTTTTAAAGGGAAGAGATTGTTGAAGCAGCAGCCTCTGCTTAGTGCACAGGTCAACCAGGCCAACTGTAGACGTCATGTCACCTAAGCCTCTGTTTATGAAACACAGCGTGTTCAAGGTGGGACATAGCCTAAAGGACACAAACACTACATCCAGGTCTTCAGCACACACTCTTTACTGTGGGAGAGCTAACTGAGTCTGAATCGGTTTTGAATATAAGGTGACACTAACATGTAGGGCAGATAGAGTGGCTAGTAAAGCGTTGGTTAGTGAGGATTAGAAAGCACTATGTATTTGGTTAGTAGTAGGTGTTTTTTAGCTTGTAAATGTTTTTGTATAATACATGAATTTAAGCCAATAAACTAGATGTGTTAGTAACATATATTGAAAATACTTTCTGTTTAGTGTCTATGCCCCTATTCTAAAGCTTCGGAGAGCTTATCAGGGTGTCCCATTTCACATATCTCCATTCTGTCTTATGGTAAATGGAAAATAGACTTCATTTATACAGCGCTTTATTCAGTCTTACGACTCCTAAAGGGCTTTTTATATACGCAAGTCTGCATTTATGCAATTGCCCTGCTGCCATACAAGGTGCCACCTGCTCAGGGAAGCTAACATACACACACATTCACACACTGTTGGGAGCCCAAGGATACATCTAAATGTTAACGGCAGGGGCTGTGATTGAACCCACAACCTTCCCATTGTAATGACCAGTGTGGCCTTATGATTGCACTTGTATATGTTTTGTATAAAGTAAATGGAATTGAATACGCAGTTGCCAGTTTATTCAGGGTTCTAACAGAATAGGGAGGTAAGTAGGCATTTTGAGATATTTTTTAAATGTTAATCAGTATAAAATTAAAGACTAACTTTACAATAACCACAATAAAAGGACAACATAGGACAAATGGTCCAAGGCTGGATTTGAACCCGGGTCCTCCGCACAGGGACCAAACCCCAGCCCCAGGGCCCGCGTGCTTTTTAAAAATATGAATTCCATTATTAGTTCCCATTATTACACTAGGCTGAAACTAATGCATCCCAAGACAACAGTCCTTCAACACAACATAAAAAAACATTTTTTGAGATACTGTAAATAATACCCGTTAGTTCCACTGGAAAATATGGTTGGTGTCTTTCTAAGTACTATTGGAAAGCCACTACATCCTCCATTAGAGGAACTCTGGTACAAAATAAGGACCATTCTCTGGTGTGCGCCATCAGAGCCATAAACCAGAAGCACCATAAATTGCCTTCTAAAAAAAAGTGTTACTCACTCTCTCTCTGCTCCCGTTCTCTCAAGATGGCGTCCAGCCACTTCTGCTTGTCTTCTGCATTTTTGGCCATGCAGACAAACCACTTGTTTTTCGCAGTGTTGTGGATCTTCCAGCCGTTAGTCACCGTGTAGTTGTTGCTGTGATAGTCCGCTGCAAAGAAAATAAAAAACCAATCAAGTAATTTGTCTTTAAAATGGGACAGGAGTCATCATGTAAAACCGTTGAAGTCTTGAATGGCCCTTAAACAAGCAAACAGTTCACCTCATTAAAATAACATGCACTTAAATGATCTCACTTGTTCACAGATTTTTACTGAGCTTGTTTTTTCCCCCCTAAGCATTTCATTTTGAAAGAATGACACAAAAACCACAGCACTATGTCAACGCTGACCTCAGTGGTAAGTAAAGTGAAGCAATCAGAAGAGTAATCAAATGAATCTTGTTAATATTGAAGTTATCTCCAAATAGGACTCGAGCAATGATTTACAAACCAATTAATGAGATAAACATGATGCACCGGGAGAGCAGTAAAAGACCCTGTTACCAATGACTCTGCAAAATCTCTCCTCGTACCAGCTTTCTAATTGTATTATCCATTTAGCTGCAGGTGAGCAGCTCCTGAATAATGAATGGTGGCTGGTAATGGGGTGCATTAGTCTTTCACGCTCAAAGGTCATATAAATAGATCTGATACTCTGAGACCCACAGGGAGCAGCTCCTGCTGAGGAGGGAGAGGAGGGAAGAACATTATCTTTGAAGCAAATGGAACGGAAAAGATGGATTTCGGTGAAATGTTGTTTGAGTTCATGCTGATATCTTGCAAGGAGGCCTTTATCAAGGCAACAAGGTGTATAAGTCAGTAAAAGGGAGGATGTTTTTAATGCTTTAACCAACAGATTGCTATTTGAGATAACTTCTTTATTTTTGTTTTTGGGGACGTCCCTTTCCTGTAGTGTGTCAATTGCTGTGCATGTAAATGTTCTGCAATGGCTCAAATCCAAAAGTTCCCTCCAAAGGGGGATTCTCACTCCCCGTGCCTGAAATGCCTCTATTCGAGTCCTTATTTTACTTCTGTAACATAATGACATCACTATGTAACACTCACACTTTTATTGGCTCTCTCTCTCAAATACATCTCTAATTGGTTGACCAATCACAACAGAGCCAGACAGCTAACCAATCAGAGCAGACTGGGCTCTGGTTTCAGACCGAGGGTGAAAAGAGGTGCTGCAGCACAGGCAGTATGAGAAAAATAAAGAGCTTTTTGAAGCATGGAGGCATGTCACAGTAGAGACATTAAACACAAATATGTAAATAATAAGTCCCCTTTAAGCTAGCAGCATATTAAATAAAACATAATGTTTCCATTCAAGCTTTAAACAAATAACCCCTCACACATTTCACAGTATTTAAGCGCTAAGCGTTCTCAATGTTCTGCGTATAAGGCATGTTTTTCTATGTGGTTTCCCCTACAGAAGCCTAAATGTGACAGCTATCACCAAACACGTAGAAAGAAAGGTCATGTGAGCTTGCAACATATTTTGAACAACAAAAAAGAGGAAACACGTGAGAGAGAGGAAGATGAAGTGTTTCTACTGAGCCCAGCACAGTGCCTCGCAACACACCACAATAGCAAAATAAGCCGGGACAACAGTATAACAACAAGCCCACAGAAGAGTCGTTTATCTTTGGCACAATAACTCACATTGGAGCGCATCAGGTTCATCTTCTGGCTCGGGGTTGCTTTTGCACTACAGATCTGTATCAACACCTCATGCCATTACTGAATAGCTGACATCAAAAGGTGGTACACAAGGTTGCAAGCTACATCCTGTTTGAAACTAGGTGCAAGTATGATACTCCACCCAAACTGTCAACAAGTACCTGATTCGTATCCAAGCAGGGCTTTCTAAATGGTAAAGTGTGAAAAAGAAAAATAGCCCTGTAGGCAAATTGAATTCGGGTTGTTATTATTTATGCACAATGTCAGTTTTTGCAACCTGTGATATCAGTGAACTAAATAAAAAGATTGGTTAAGATCTGAAATATTTGAGAGTATTTGGGACAAGCATATGACATTCTAATTTACGCAAAAAGATTAAAGATGTCAAAATAGAGGTGAAATTTAAAGAATGTAGTCAAATTCTCAAAAATAAATTGAAATGTGGACAAAAAAAGTTGCAAAACCTTTGAGAACAAAGTCAAAATGTTGATAATGAAATTGAAAAATTGCAAGAATTACATCGAAATGTTGTGAATACATTCTCAATATTGTTTAAAAAATAGTATCAAAATGACGAGAATAAAGTAGAAATGTTAAAAATGAAGTCAAAATGTCAAGAATTAGGTCGGACTTGTTGAGAATAGATTCAGCGTATTCAAAAACATGTTGAGACTTAACGTGAAATGTTGGGAACAGTCAAACTGTAATTAAAAATAAGGCAACAAATGAAGAAAACACATCAAACTTAAAGCATTACTGCATACACCTAGAATTCAACTTTATTCTCAACATTTTGCCTTTGCAAATAAAATAAAGACATTCCTGGACTTATTTTTCCCATTTTGCTGATACTCTCTTAAATATACTAACCAGAGGCTCATTAGAAATCACCAACATGCCCTGGGAGAGTTTCATGAATGGACATATAGACAGTCTCCAAAGGTAACTGAAGGGCAAACACCAACCTGTTCCATCTTCCACATTTTCCACCTCCATCACCTCGGTGTTGATTCGGCCTCTGAACACATAGAGGGGACCGTTGATAGACTTGGTCCTCTTGGTGGACTTCTTTCCAGAAACCCTAGAAAATGGGACAACACTGTGGTTACACTCTGTAGGGAAACATCCACTGTTTCTGGTGCAACCGTGAGACAAGAACTTGTGTCTTTAACAAATGTACATTCATTTAGAGACATGTATGGGAGCAGCAGACACATGTAGTTGTTTCTGTTTTGCTTGCATACTGAAAATCTGTCTGCACAAACGGGAATTTGCTGCAATTTTCCATGTCTGGCTTTTTTCCAGTAGTCCAGCCAATATAAATATATTTGAATGCTTTCTTTGACATGCTTGTAGAAGCTTCAGTGTAGTTGGGTAATGCCTTCCTCACCTGGACTTCCTCTTACAGTAAACCAAAAGGTTGTCGAACAGGAAGAAGACGCGTTCCTGGATATTGCCTGCTGAGATTTTAAGGAGATTTCCATGAAGCAGCAACTCTGTGCAGATATCTGTCAGGTTGGTGCCCTGAAGAAAAAGATAAAAAAAGTAGTTAGCTACTGACATGTGTATTGTAACAACATTAAAAGTTTACAAAACTTTGCAGTTATATCCATCAAGGCCATGGTGTGGAAATGGAAATAGCACTACATTTGGAAGTTGCAAAGATAACAATTCTGTCTGTATCAAAACTTGATCAGTTCACAACCTCAGCGAAACAATGCGAAATTCAACTCTGACATTGTGAACGTCTTGTTTTCATTCCAATGTTAATGACAGGAACGAGTAAACAAATCTGTTCCTCAGCCAACTTCAATTTTTGCGAGACGGAGAACTAAGTACATTTACTCAATAACCGCACTTAAGTATTATTTTGACATAGCCGTACTTTACTGGAGGGTTTCCATTTAATGCTACTTTATAATTCCGCCTGAGTCAAATATTGTACTTTTTATTCCCCTACATTCACTTTTCTTAATTATTTTTGTAATGCACTACTTTAAAAGAGACTATGTTATGCTAATTTACAAGGTTTATATTAGTATTTTGTGCCTGTACTGTGACATGTTTCCATGCTTTAATGTTCAAAATTATTTGGAATTTCGGCCTTTGCAGACCAATTACATGCACACAAAAACATCTAACATACTACAGGAAGTGGCAAACCCCAAAAAGCACAATAGGGCCTCTTTAAGTAAAGAATCTGAGTACCTCTTCTTGAGTTTACACCCAATGCAAATCTGCAAATAGAAAACAATGCTGGGACAGTTAGCATCTCGCTGGTGCATCACTGTCTAGAAACATCACGTTTAAATAACCGATAGAGACTGGAGAGTTTCTCCTACATTACTGCAGTGTCTTGAACTTGACTTTTTAGCTTATTTATAATGTGTTAGTTAATTAGATGCACACATTTATTGCCTCGGAAAACTGTTACCATAGCCTACTTTTAGTTTCCTGTGGGGCGCTAAAACAAACAAAGCCTTTTTATTCTCTTCTCGGGATGTGAAAGCACTACAAACACATGCCTGCATCCTCACATATTCAAATACAACTGTTGCATAGAGGAACCGTGCAGCAAACCTAAGTAAAAAGGAAATATAGAATGTGTGATATTAAAGACTGGCCCACTCCCTTGTTCTTACACAGGAACAGGCATTATGTTACTCTGCAGCCTACCTACCACCTTCACAGGATGTGATCGAGCCTTTCTTTAAAGCCGTTTCTCGTCAGCTATTGAATACACCCCAACCGGTTAAGACCAATATAACCTTTCGAAGCAGCATGAGGCAAACCACAAACACTGGTGTTTCACAGTCAACACCATGGACTGCAACCGCTTCAACAAGTACAACGTTTGTCTGTTCAACATGTATTTAATGATGCATTTACTGTATTTAAAATGTCAAATTACTGTACGTTTAGATGAACATTGAGAGGTGTATCAGTACCTCCTTGCTGATTTTAGAGGATTACAATTTTGAGTGATTAATGAACCTGTCGTAGTAAATGAGGTTGTTGACGCCAATCTGGAACAGATTGAAAAAAGCTTTGTTGATCGACCCTAGCATGGTGCAATATTAAAGGGGCCCCATTATGCTAATGTATACGTTCATGTTTGTTTTGTGTCCTTCTACTGGGTTTACATGCTTTAACGTTCAAAAGGGTCTTTATTTTTCTGTGGGAGACATTCTACTTTCACAAAAACATGTGTAAACACATTTGGGAAAACCCCCAGAAGCATAAGAAAGCCTATTTAACCTTATCACTAAGTCGCTAAACTTCAGGACCAATACATACAATTATTAAGGCAACAATCATTTTGGAAGATTTTCAGTGTTTTCACATTTCCATCTAGGGAACAGAAACCGCTCTACAGATATACACATGAGCAACCATGCACTCACATGTTCCATTTCGATTTGTGAATAATGGATGAAAGTATTTCCTATTGTAAAATATACAGAAATATTCAATGGACTTCAATTTAAAATGTACAACCTCATAGAGTCCATAGAAGGTATAAGTGCTGCACGTTTAAGCTGTCAAAACAGAGCTAGCCACACATAAAATAGAACAATTGGGGGTAAAGACATCTCATTACTCATTGTTAAATGCATCATTTCCCTCCAAATCATCTGGAACTAAATGCACCCATGTGCAGGCTCTAAACCCCTGCCTGCGCGCCGCCCGCGCCCGTTGGTTGAATAGAGAGCGAGCCCACCACCCCTCACCACACCCCCACACACACACAAAGATAGATCAGATGTGGACTTCACTGTTGTCTTTGATCCATCTGACATGGGTCCACCGGAGACCTGTGGAAACCCCATGCTGCCCACCCCCACTCTCAAGCGTCCATAATTGATTCCCATGAGTATATATTTATGATGGATGTTCATCCCTCCTGAGTTTGTTGAGAGAGAAAAAAGAAATCAGAGGTTTTCCTTAAGGTGAATACCGACCGGTCTGGGGAGGGGTCGTGTTTCAGACAATCGATTCAACCTCATGTTGACTGCACTAACCTGAGGTTGGGGGTTGGAAACTTTTACCTCTTGTCATGTGCATGCATGTCTATGCTTTCCTGCATTTATAATGTATATGGAAGCGTACAACACACAGTGGTGGTGTATGTACGTGAGTGTATCTGAGCAGCAGTAATGCGTCTGGGTCTGATTCTGTACTTCTGGCGGACTCTTCCATTAGAGCTGGAGGTGATTAGCCCACAGAGTGGCTGGAGAGAGGAAAGAGGAACGAGACTAATGCTGTAATATTGAAGGCTCTCTGGGGGGGAGGGGGTGAAGTGCCTTTTTGAGTTGTTCAGAGGAAGAGCACAGAAATTGCCTGTCTTGGACCACAAAAAATGATTTAATGTTCAACTAGAAGGGCACTTGATAGCTTTGCTAAATATATACTGTAGATTTCAAACTGAAAATCCAAATAATTTAATTATTTCTCTAAACCTTTTGCTATGATTAGTTCATCACTTCACCAATACTTGCTGAGATCTTGAGATCTTGAGATATATATATATATATATATATATATATATATATACACATATATATACATAGATACATCAAATATAAATTGGGGGACATCACAGTGGCTAAAGCACACACCGTGGACTAGAATAAAACCGATAATATATTATTCATCACAAGATGGACCAGGATATATTCTGCATTTACTTTCACTGCCAAACTAAAGACCCAAATATCAGGGTCCTTTTTCTGAGGGAAAGGGAGAACAAGGGTACATTCTGGCATGCGAGCTGTGGGATGTCCCAGTGGTTCCATCCTTCATTTTTCTTCCTCTGCCCCCTCCAAAAAGGTCCCCTCATATAACCCTCCCAATGCATGTGAGAGTGCAGCTCTGCTTCCTAGGGTCCTTTCTGATTGGGCAGTGTGCCTGTTGGCATCCCCCCCCTGGCACCCTGAGTGGGAGGATTGTCCCATTGGTGCCTGCTTAGACAAGGCTTCTGTTGTGGTGGTTGAGGGAGGCGTGAAAAATGCACTGAACCCTTCGTTCGGCTCCCAAGCCCCGTCCGTGGCCCCTATTTGGCTGCAGTAGTAACTCTTAAGATAGATGGTGGAAGTCTTTCTAGAATAAATCTGGATGAGGTTGCAGTGGTTTTGTCAAAGGATTTGTTTCATTTGTCAGAAACCTTGTGCAAATAACACATATTCAGGATGCTCTCAGAAAAGTAGGACCTTTTTTCCTTACACTTCACTCTGAATGTCAAAGCACTTCATCTAGCCATTTGGTCTCCATCTTGCACCTCTCAAGGTTTCACCTCTCAACCTTTTATCCTAATGTAAATATATACTTCACCCTAAAAAAAAATCATAATCTGTAAAGCGATTTATCAACTTTTGCTGCCTTTAATTTAAGAATAAAACCTTTTTTTTAATGCATACACTTATTGTATATATAGCATATCATATGTTAATGCATTCCTCCAGTATAGTTATATGGCATACAGTAAGTGTTGGCATTTCCTGGTTTTAAAAACTGCACTAGAGTAAATTGATGCAATTTATATATGCAACTGTTTTAGCTGATCTATTATTTGGTTTTACAATGTTCAACCCTACAGTAGTTTTGTGATAGAGGTTTTCGCACAAAAAAAAATATTTTCTTCAATTCACCAAGCTATAATCCACAGTGAACAAAGATTTAAACAACTGTAAAAAGCCTAAAGGAATATGTTTGAAAACATCAGTCAATAAACTCTCACACAGGTTGTATAATCCACATCCCAAATTGTCTTTCCCGAAAACATATATTTCCTGAAAAAAAATCATACTTTTTAAAAAACACTTCTGCATGACCAGAACTTAAATTGGTGAGTAGCATGTTTGTAAAACGGAACTGGGGTTATACTGTCCGATTTGAATGCCACGCATATTTTTCAGTATATGACCCTCTTTACGACTACTCTCTGTCTTTGACCTGCTTGCTCTCACCTCCCAGCCCTCGATGTGGGACTGCAGCTGTTCCAGAGCCTCCAGTTTCTCCATCTGCCTCTTGGTCTCATTGATGTTGGAGCAGACGGCCTTCATGGCCTGCAGAGCTTCCTCCACTGCCGGATAGTCAGCGTGCTTCTTAGGGGTCCGCTTTAAAAGCTCCTAGTGATGAAAAGGGGAACGTTTTCAAACAAAATATGTAGAACGTCCAGAAGGAAGCAAATACAAAAACACTTATATGGTTATAGAGTCTTCTGTGATCTTTAATGGCGAGAGGGTTTTATACACAGGCCTTGTACCAGCTACACTCACAGTCAACATTTCTGTCCATTTGGAGAACGTTTTTACAACAATATAAAGTACGGTAATGGTATCGATCACTAAGGATACATTATGATTTGCGCTGTGGCCATGTAATGTAAAAGTCTAAGCAGGCTTTAATCAAAGCTGTTATCATTTGATGACAGCATCAGAACATCAGTGCAGCAGTTTGGACAGTACCTTCAACAGCAGAGGATACTTGCAGATCCTCTGAATGGGGCTGAGCAGGTAGCCCTCCAGGGGGACATCTGTGCTCTTCTTCCCACCCAGTAGCATACAGTGCTATAGAAGAAAAGCGAACAAACACAATTAGACACCAATACACATTTCTTACAAATACATTGTACGGTTTATATTTATTTTAAGGGAAATAATTCATTGCAATTGAAATGCAGAAAAGGTTGAACAATAAAAAATGTAAACCCCCAAAAACCCAAATGGAACAGATATCAGGAATTGCACATCATTAAACATGAACAACATTAAAAAAGTGTGTGTGGAAAACTCTATTTATAGAAGAATGACAGACTAATCATTGGAAAATAAATAGGTATTGTTCTTTTAAATCGGATCTTGGTTTAGTTAAAGACAAGAAGAGTCCACCTAACTTTTCAATTTCGACAGTATTAGACTTTTTAAAACTGTTCTTTGTCTATCTACGCCACAACACCAGTCTATTTCGATGCATTTCACAGCTGTCTTCATTGCCGTCTCAGGCCTATTGTGTTTTTCAGCAATAAACAGACTTTAATTGACCACTGTTGTCATTTCTATCCAGTCACAGTCTATTGCACCTGAAGCAGATCTATAACCGGCCCAGGTGCAGAATATGAATAATCTGTCAAGGTGTGTCTGGGAGCTAGTTAATGAAGCTATATGCAGAGGATACCATGCTCTCCATACTCAAATCACATGCCATTTTGTAGGACCTTTTTTAAATGAGGCTAAAATGGCATTTGTGTATTTTAGGAATAATGATCATGCAATGCTTTAGTTGTTTAGTCATTGTTTACATTTAGCTGTTTTAACATTATATTACAAGATAGACAACCGCTTCAATTACTATTTATTTATGACTTTAAATCTATCTTGACTGTGACCGCTCTGCACAACCTTGATTTCTGAAGCTTTATCAGCAATTACCACATCCTGTCACCAAAGCTTTTTTTTTAAAAAGTCTATATTGTAAGATAATAGTACTTTCTGGTTTGTTTTAGCCACATTTTAAGATTGACTGTGAGTGCTGTTTTTATCTCTGTATCATATGTTGGTAACACATACTGTACATAAACCAAAATATAGTTGACTTCACACTTCTCTTACAGCAAAGCAAACATCAGGAGATTCAAAAAAGACTCAAGTGTCTCTCTTAAGCAGTGGGGGAATAAACAAAAGTACATTTGACTCAAGTACTGTAGGGAAGTACAATTTTGAGGTTCTTGTACTTTAGTTGAGTGTGTCCATGTTATGCTAATTTCTACCTGTTTGATCACTTATTATAATCAAGTGCTATAATGCTTATTAATTGGAAAATGTCCTTTAAGTTTTGGTACTTCAAGTTTATTCAGTTATTAATACTTTGGTGCTTTTACTTATTGAATGTGGGACTTGTACTGTTACAGAGTATTTCTACACTGTTGTATTACTTATTTTTAATTTAAATATCTAAGTTCTTCTTCCTACACTGCTTTGTTGTTTGGATACACAACTGTCTGCAACCATACCGCCTAAAACAATAAAAAAAATATCCGCGCTTAAAAGGATCACTGAGAAACCTCCAAAATGTTTTCTCATGCCCCAGAAGATTTGGGCTTTAAAAAAACTGTTAAAATGAGGGGGGGGTTACAGTTACAGTCATGGTTTCTCCTCGCTTTTTATTTTGCAGGAACGCAGTCTGTCAGTGTGCTATGAGCTCATGGGATGGGATGAAAGATCAACAGCAGTCGTGCAGATAAACCACTTGAGTGTTCTCCAGAAGGGAGAGATCACTTTAGAGCCTTATAATCATGGTGTGTGTGTGTGTGAGTGAGAGGTGTTTATGAGTGTGTTGTGTGTATGCCAGTATCACAGCAGCTGGTCCAATGGCTCCGTTGGGGCCTTCTGGTCA